GGTTAGGGTTAGGGTTAGGATTAGAAGACACTAGATGAACACTCAAAAAAAAAAAAAAAAATCACCACACAACAGCACACTTGCACCCCTTGAAATAATGGACTGTCACGTCAGCTGTGGATTTCCCACGGGGATTTCCTGTTTGGGGTACGTTATAAATTAAGAACCACTCAAAGTTCTGGAACAAGACCAGCGTCCACTAATAGACGAACAGTCAGAACGTTGCTCCGAAGTTTAAAGCTGGTAAACGCTAAGAAGAAAAAACGAGTCTAATGACAAGAGACACTGTTTGAAAAACTTCTCAAAATGTATGAAATATGGCGAGCCATCTTACAATTTAGTTATGTATAGTGTCACTCACTCCACACTGATCAGTTACACTGTAGAGACTTGCCTATTCTCACTCGTTTACCAGCCTGAACTGATAAAATCAGACATGGGCAGGTTGGTTGTGAAGTCTGCACGGCAAGAACACAATGTCGAATTAGTTCTCATCCATTCTGCAGCAACAAACCTAGCAATTACTCCGCTTACTGCGGATAGAAACTTATTGTATGTAGACATGGAAGTGACCACATAATGTACATACGATCTCCGGACAAACTCCCAAATCACATAAAAAGATTAAAGTTGAGGGGATCCATTTCTTGCACCCGGTTTTATCCCATATGGCTGCGTCTTTCTCCACAGAATGGCTAGCCGCCTGCCTGGCACGTCACACAAAGAATGAACACCTTAGCTCCAGCACGATTCCCAGATGTCTTCGTAAAGTTTACACTCGTGAAGCGAACAAGGTAGACAAGAAACGAACCCCGACCTTCAGAGCTAGAGGCACACAGAGATTGACCACTTCGCCAGCCTGTCATCTAACAAATTTAATATCGTCATATGGGCGCATTGTTAGGGCTCTCTCGCCCTGTCTTGTGTGTACAATCCACTATCTACACGTCATGAAAAGAAATGACAAAGTGTAGTTCAGGTTGACAATACTACAATGACACAAGACACATGCGAGGTTGTGGCCGAGAACACAAGACACATGCGAGGTTATAGCCAAGAACACAAGACACATGCGAGGTTATAGCCAAGAACACAAGACACATGCGAGGTTGTGGCCGAGAACACAAGACACATGCGAGGTTATAGCCAAGAACACAAGACACATGCGAGGTTATAGCCAAGAACACAAGACACATGTGAGGTTGTTGCCAAGAACACAAGACACATGCGAGGTTATAGCCAAGAACACAAGACACATGCGAGGTTGTGGCCGAGAACACAAGACACATGCGAGGTTGTGGCCGAGAACACAAGACACATGCGAGGTTGTAGCCAAGAACACAAGACACATGTGAGGTTGTAGCCAAGAACACAAGACACATGCGAGGTTGTTGCCAAGAACACAAGACACATGCGAGGTTATAGCCAAGAACACAAGACACATGTGAGGTTATAGCCAAGAACACAAGACACATGCGAGGTTATAGCCAAGAACACAAGACACATGCGAGGTTGTGGCCGAGAACACAAGACACATGCGAGGTTGTAGCCAAGAACACAAGACACATGTGAGGTTGTAGCCAAGAACACAAGACACATGCGAGGTTGTTGCCAAGAACACAAGACACATGCGAGGTTGTAGCCAAGAACACAAGACACATGCGAGGTTGTTGCCAAGAACACAAGACACATGCGAGGTTGTTGCCAAGAACACAAGGCACATGTGAGGTTGTTGCCGAGAACACAAGACACATGCGAGGTTATAGCCAAGAACACAAGACACATGCGAGGTTATAGCCAAGAACACAAGACACATGCGAGGTTGTGGCCGAGAACACAAGACACATGCGAGGTTGTGGCCGAGAACACAAGACACATGCGAGGTTATAGCCAAGAACACAAGACACATGCGAGGTTGTAGCCAAGAACACAAGACACATGCGAGGTTGTTGCCAAGAACACAAGACACATGCGAGGTTGTAGCCAAGAACACAAGACACATGCGAGGTTATAGCCAAGAACACAAGACACATGCGAGGTTATAGCCAAGAACACAAGACACATGCGAGGTTGTAGCCAAGAACACAAGACACATGCGAGATTATAGCCAAGAACACAAGACACATGCGAGGTTGTTGCCAAGAACACAAGACACATGCGAGGTTGTTGCCAAGAACACAAGACACATGCGAGGTTGTTGCCAAGAACACAAGACACATGCGAGGTTGTTGCCAAGAACACAAGACACATGCGAGGTTGTGGCCGAGAACACAAGACACATGTGAGCTTGTTGCCAAGAACACAAGACACATGCGAGGTTGTAGCCAAGAACACAAGACACATGCGAGGTTGTAGCCAAGAACACAAGACACATGCGAGGTTGTAGCCAAGAACACAAGACACATGCGAGGTTGTAGCCAAGAACACAAGACACATGCGAGGTTATAGCCAAGAACACAAGACACATGCGAAGTTGTAGCCAAGAACACAAGACACATGCGAGGTTATAGCCAAGAACACAAGACACATGCGAGGTTGTTGCCAAGAACACAAGACACATGCGAGGTTGTTGCCAAGAACACAAGACACATGCGAGGTTATAGCCAAGAACACAAGACACATGCGAGGTTGTAGCCAAGAACACAAGACACATGTGAGGTTGTTGCCAAGAACACAAGACACATGCGAGGTTGTTGCCAAGAACACAAGACACATGCGAGGTTGTTGCCAAGAACACAAGACACATGCGAGGTTGTTGCCAAGAACACAAGACACATGCGAGGTTGTTGCCAAGAACACAAGAGGCGTGTCAGTGTGGTTAATTATACTCTTTGCAGAGGTGATCTACATCTGGTAGGATCATTTCCCTGTTTCCCCAAGTTGGAGCCCAACCTTCACTCACCCAGGACACCGGCTTGCTGTCGCTAACGGTTAGGAATGCCCTAACTGTATCTTTTTAGGAGGTTCAACATTTTATCTGTGGTTTGTCTTGATGGATTGTCATCAAACTTTCCTGACAACAGTCAGTTGCACATAAGTTCGACACATTTTATTTGTAACTTTACGGAAAAAGTTTAGCCACTATTTAGTGTGGGAATCTGGTGTAGACTTACAAATATCTGCTTACAAATCAGAGCAGCGCAGACTCCACTGGGGGCCGAGATGTCATCAGACATCTTTATCTCCTCAGTGATGTAACCCTGCACTTCCAGCAAGTTGTCACGACCAGTTTCCCGTTTTCTAGAAATACAGATTTTCCTGGCTCTATATTTAGACGCGCGACTCCTTTCCCAGAATCCAGGTCAGCCTATAAACGTTGGAGTGAAGCCCGGACGGAAAGCCTAGTTTCCCCAAGCGAGTCTACTTGTGTGGTTGGTGTTCATTGACGTTCAGTGTCCTCTGTAAACCCACGTTTAGTCAGTGAAGGGATATATGAGAAGGGAGAAAGTATAACTATTTCTCAACAGCAACAACATACACTAATAAATTCATATTGAGGTTGTAGGATAAAGACTGTTGTTGGGAGGACAACCAGGAGACACTCTGTGAAGGATTTGTTCTAGTAAACTAGGTGAGTGTGTCAGGGAACCTTTCCGCCGCCGTGTGATAGTACAGTTGTAGCATTTAGCAAGTTGTGAAGTGGTTTAGTTTCATAAATACATAGCCTGGCTTTGCTCTATTTTATTCTGAAATGCACACGACATGAGTTGCTCCAGCGAACGCTGTCTCGTGGTTAAAGGCGGCAAGTTAATCAGCCAGTCACCATTTGTTTTCTGTTCGTTACTTGTTCCTTCTACCTGTGCGAGTGGCCGGAAACAGCTGTTGTGTCTGATATCACTTAACCTTTATATCAGTGTACAAGTTATTAGAATGTTTACAAGACATGGCAGAACCAACCCCAACATTATTTTGGCAGTTTGTGATTTTACTATGCAACTTTACGTTCAGTAGTTAGCGGTACGTTCCCAGATCGTCTGCAGTTAGATTTAAAGCCGGCAGCTCGGCTTTGAGTTAAAAAAGAATTAAATTTACAGTATTTTGCCAGAAACTCTTGGGGAAGCCGAGAACAGTAACACTAAACTCTAACAAGCATGCCGTTTTGTGTACAATGTAAAACTCATGTTTACTTGTGTGAGAGCACAACGTTTTGTGTACAATGTAAAACCCATGTTTACTTGTGTGAGAGCGCATCATGTTGTGTCCAATGTAAAACTCATGTTTACTTGTGTGAGAGCGCATCATGTTGTGTACAATGTAAAACTCATGTTTACTTGTGTGAGAGCGCATCATGTTGTGTACAATGTAAAACTCATGTTTACTTGTGTGAGAGCGCATCATGATGTGTACAATGTAAAACTCATGTTTACTTGTGTGAGAGCACAACGTTTTGTGTACAATGTAAAACCCATGTTTACTTGTGTGAGAGCGCATCATGTTGTGTACAATGTAAAACTCATGTTTACTTGTGTGAGAGCGCATCATGTTGTGTACAATGTAAAACTCATGTTTACTTGTGTGAGAGCGCATCATGTTGTGTACAATGTAAAACTCATGTTTACTTGTGTGAGAGCGCATCATGTTGTGTACAATGTAAAACTCATGTTTACTTGTGTGAGAGCGCATCATGTTGTGTACAATGTAAAACTCATGTTTACTTGTGTGAGAGCGCATCATGTTGTGTACAATGTAAAACTCATGTTTACTTGTGTGAGAGCGCATCATGTTGTGTACAATGTAAAACTCATGTTTACTTGTGTGAGAGCGCATCATGTTGTGTACAATGTAAAACTCATGTTTACTTGTGTGAGAGCACAACGTTTTGTGTACAATGTAAGACTCAAGTTTACTTGTGTGAGAGCACATCATTTTGTGTACAATGTAAAACCCAAGTTCACTTGTGTGAGAGCACATCATTTTGTGCATCGATTAATCTGTGCAGCGGTTTTCTTAATATTAAATCACTATTATCATTCACTTTTATCTGTGTTCCAACAGTTGCCATGGGAACTGACGGTGAGCAGCCGTTTACGTTGACCTATAGTGGACAAAGTGATGGTCTCACAGGCAGTGAGCAAGGCCAGATAGAACTGCTTCCGGTGGAAATCCTAACAGAGGTTCGACGGGAAGAGGCGGTCACGCTGATGGGCAATGGCGTCATCCAGCGAGAGGTAAGCTACCCTGTTGTGTGATTTGCTTTCTTTTTCTATTGTTCAACTGCTTATGCCGCAAATTTTTTGTCGAAGAATGGAGTTGTGTGTAGTTTCCTGACTTTTGAAGGTTGCGTAGCTTTTGTCAATGTCATATTGCGTCTCTGTATTATCTCTTTTACTCCCTTCATCCAGTATGCTCTAGCAGCTGGCGAGTGTTCCCTTCTGACCTGATGAACAGAATATTTGACTCTTTGATGTTCTATGACAATATTTGCCACCCAGTTTTCTAGTCTCACCTCATCCATGTGGCCAAACCACCCAGTTTTCTGTCTCACCTCATCCATATGGCCAAACCACCCAGTTTTCTGTCTCACCTCATCCATGTGGCCAAACCACCCAGTTTTCTAGTCTCACCTCATCCATGTGGCCAAACCACCCAGTTTTATAGTCTCACCTCATCCATATGGCCAAGCCACCCAGTTTTCTGTCTCACCTCATCCATGTGGCCAAACCACCCAGTTTTCTGTCTCACCTCATCCATATGACCAAGCCACCCAGTTGTCTTTATCTCTTTGCTGTCTGCCTACCCTTTTCTCACTAATGTTGTCAGTCTTGAGTCCGTTCTTTCTTACAACATGCCCGAAAACCACCGGCTGTCTACGTCTAATTTCTGTAATCATTTGACGGTCCCCAATTGTCTTGACAAGGACAGCTTACAGCTGGTTTGCCGAATGCCCTTTTCTCGCATGCATATAGCAATATACTGCACTTTAACACCACCTCCCACCCCCCGGGGCAACTTCCTCACTGCATTTCACACATAGAATAAAGTAAGCTGGAATGCTAAAATAGTAGCCATTCCGGAACAAGCATGTCATAACTGTCACTGACTCACAGAGCATGTTGAGAACGGCGGAGACAGGCATACTATGTGCAGAGTGGCAAGCATTGCTTCAGAGGTCCTGGATAGTTTGTGTCCTTTTGATATTTTCTTCAAGTAATGCCGGTGTGTTGGGAAACGAGCAGATAGACCGGCTGGTTATGCACCACTTGGTGGTGATTAGATATATGATAAGCTAGTTGTAAGGGCTTTTGGGAGCGAGTGAACAGTGCAGAGGCACAAATAGATCATTTTGGTCTGAGTAGAATGGCGCTGCGAGGAGTTACCAGGCGATCGGGTCGACGACCAGCACTCAAAGGAAAGGCGATACTTACAGGTATTAGTACCATCGGAATTGGAACTTTTCACTTGTTGCTAAAAATGGGGACAAAGCGATTATGAGAATGTTATTCACAATTCAACATCCAACAAACAACAACAGCAGTCAATTCTGAAACAAGAAAACGGCGAAAACTACAGATACAGGTGAAAATAAAGGTAGAACTACTGAGGTGGGTGGGGTGGGGGTGAGGCTGGCTGTTTTACTGAAGTACGATACACATGCAGAACGTGAAGGCTGCCAAGAGAAACAGGAAGTTTACCAGTGACTTGACAAGGGCAGGCCGAGGAGGCGGGAAGGGGCCAATAATTGATTGTTAAAGGCGCGCAAGTCGACATGAGGTCACCTGAGGAAGTAGGGGGTCTCCACGGCGAAGGGGCCATGCCCTCTGCCTGGGGCTGTGAGGGTCTTGGGTTCATTTCACTGCTTCCCCATTCAGTCCGCGAGTGCAGTTTTTACGGAGGTCTCTGGGGATCTGCGGCGGAGCTAAGGTGTTCGTTCTTTGTAAGAAGCTTTTGACAGGCCGCTAGCCATTCGCAGAGAGAAAAAGAGAGAAAGAGAGAGAGAGAGAGAGAGAGAGAGAGAGAGAGAGAGAGAGAGAGAGAGAGAGAGAGAGAGAGAGAGAGGGAGGGAGTGAGAGGCCAAGCCATCTAGGATAAAATCCGGTCTAAGGAAGTCGATTCTCTAGAATGTAATACACAAGTATCCATTATTTTCTTCTCACACACGACGCCCAGAGAAACTGTTAACATTCCCCTGTAGTAGGAATATTCTCACACACGACACCCAGAGAAACTGTTAACATTCCAATCTAGAAGGAATATTCTCACACACGACACCCAGAGAAAATATTAACATTCCCCTCTAGTAGCAGTCTGAGAAATATATTCTCACATACATGAGTTTTGTGGCAGAGCTCAGTTTTGTTTAGGGCCGAAAATATTGAGGATATCACAGGTCAGTAGACCCCGCCCCAGGGTTGAAAGGTAATTAGTACAGTTGGCAAGGATTCACGTACCAATGACTACAACTATGCTGATGAGGACGGGTTGGGGGGGGGGGGGGTGGCCTAGGTTGAATAACTTGTATGAACACTAAGATTCTTCTTCTTCTTTTTCTTCTTCTTCTTCTTAGGCCACCCTTAAAGAGCAGTAGGAACTTTGCATTGTAGTTCACAGCAAGGTTGTGAAATGTATGCACATCAGCCCAGCACATAGGATTTCAACGCACCTCTAAATAGTGGCCTTTGACGACATGCTTGTTAGAGAGGCAGTGGGTCTATTGTGTTTCCACTAAACCCCCCCCCCCCCCTCGCACTAAAGAGTCCAGAAACCCACATGGGGACACCAGCTTTTGAACCCCCACTCTCCGAATGCTTTGCTAAAGGAACAAGGAGCAACGCCCTAAGAAATAGCACCATGAACCTTTAGATTTCAGTAGCTGCTTTTGTACTCCTGGCTTGTGATGACGTCATAGTCTGGGGGCTAATGTCATTCCTGACACTGACCTGGCTGCAAGTTCTGCTTCTGCAAGCTACAAAAGACATTCATGTTAGTGATGACACGTGTGCATCAGTGGCGTGTGGGTACAACAGACATTCATGTTAGTGATGACACGTGTGCATCAGTGGCGTGTGGGTACAACAGACATTCATGTTAGTGATGACACGTATGCATCAGTGGCGTGTGGGTACAACAGATATTCATGTTAGTGATGACACGTATGCATCAGTGGCGTGTGGGTACAACAGACATTCATGTTAGTGATGACACGTATGAATCAGTGGCGTGTGGGTACAACAGATATTCATGTTAGTGATGACACGTATGCATCAGTGGCGTGTGGGTACAACAGACATTCATGTTAGTGATGACACGTATGAATCAGTGGCGTGTGGGTACAACAGATATTCATGTTAGTGATGACACGTATGCATCAGTGGCGTGTGGGTACAACAGACATTCATGTTAGTGATGACACGTATGCATCAGTGGCGTGTGGGTACAACAGACATTCATGTTAGTGATGACACGTGTGCATCAGTGGCGTGTGGGTACAACAGACATTCATGTTAGTGATGACACGTATGCATCAGTGGCGTGTGGGTACAACAGACATTCATGTTAGTGATGACACGTGTGCATCAGTGGCGTGTGGGTACAACAGACATTCATGTTAGTGATGACACGTGTGCATCAGTGGCGTGTGGGTACAACAGACATTCATGTTAGTAATGACACGTATGCATCAGTGGCGTGTGGGTACAACAGACATTCATGTTAGTGATGACACGTATGTATCAGTGGCGTGTGGGTACAACAGACATTCATGTTAGTGATGACACGTATGTATCAGTGGCGTGTGGGTACAACAGACATTCATGTTAGTGATGACACGTATGCATCAGTGGCGTGTGGGTACAACAGACATTCATGTTAGTGATGACACGTATGCATCAGTGGCGTGTGGGCACAACAGACATTCATGTTAGTGATGACTCGTATGTATCAGTGGCGTGTGGGTACAACACACATTCATGTTAGTGATGACACGTATGCATCAGTGGCGTGTGGGTACAACAGACATTCATGTTAGTGATGACACGTATGTATCAGTGGCGTGTGGGTACAACAGACTTTCATGTTAGTGATGACACGTATGCATCAGTGGCGTGTGGGTACAACAGACTTTCATGTTAGTGATGACACGTATGCATCAGTGGCGTGTGGGTACAACTGACATTCATGTTAGTGATGACACGTATGCATCAGTGGCGTGTGGGTACAACAGACATTCATGTTAGTGATGACACGTATGTATCAGTGGCGTGTGGGTACAACAGACATTCATGTTAGTGATGACACGTATGCATCAGTGGCGTGTGGGTACAACAGACATTCATGTTAGTGATGACACGTATGTATCAGTGGCGTGTGGGTACAACAGACATTCATGTTAGTGATGACACGTATGCATCAGTGGCGTGTGGGTACAACAGACATTCATGTTAGTGATGACACGTATGCATCAGTGGCGTGTGGGTACAACAGACATTCATGTTAGTGATGACACGTATGTATCAGTGGCGTGTGGGTACAACAGACATTCATGTTAGTGATGACACGTATGTATCAGTGGCGTGTGGGTACAACAGACATTCACGTTAGTGATGACACGTATGCATCAGTGGCGTGTGGGTACAACAGACATTCATGTTAGTGATGACACGTATGTATCAGTGGCGTGTGGGTACAACAGACATTCATGTTAGTGATGACACGTATGCATCAGTGGCGTGTGGGTACAACAGACATTCATGTTAGTGATGACACGTATGTATCAGTGGCGTGTGGGGTACAACAGACATTCATGTTAGTGATGACACGTATGTATCAGTGGCGTGTGGGTACAACAGACATTCATGTTAGTGATGACACGTATGTATCAGTGGCGTGTGGGTACAACAGACATTCATGTTAGTGATGACACGTATGTATCAGTGGCGTGTGGGTACAACAGACATTCATGTTAGTGATGACACGTATGTATCAGTGGCGTGTGGGTACAACAGACATTCATGTTAGTGATGACACGTATGTATCAGTGGCGTGTGGGTACAACAGACATTCATGTTAGTGATGACACGTATGCATCAGTGGCGTGTGGGTACAACAGACATTCATGTTAGTAATGACACGTATGCATCAGTGGCGTGTGGGTACAACAGACATTCATGTTAGTGATGACACGTGTGCATCAGTGGCGTGTGGGTACAAAAGACATTCATGTTAGTGATGA